TAATGTATTAATATTTCTCTTTTACACTGATTTATAGCATCTTCCCCCAAACTATAACCTGCTACACAAATGCCAGGATCGGCGGCACAAAACTAGCTTTCATCACGTAATTTTATCACTATTGCTGAGCCGTGGGTGCTGTGATAGTCTCTTTCAAGATAAAGATTTTTTTATTTTTTTTATTTTTTATTTTATTTATTTCCGTTTTTCAAGATAAAGTTTTGATGAACGAGTACTGATGTTAAAAGTAAACCAGCTAGTTAAATCCCACAAAGTCTACAAGAACAGGGGGATTTTCCATGTAGAATAATAGAAAAACACGAGACAACTAGACCTTTTCTCTCCCACGGGCAGCCATGTTTGGCCTTGTTTCCTTTTAGGAGCTCGTCCCCTCTCTTCTTGTACATCTGAGGGGCAGAAAATCAAGGTCGAAGTCTAAAGCTACCGTGTAGTTAATTACAACAGAATGATCAACTTCTAAAACGACTTTGTTCGCATTTATGTTTTCCTATCACGCACCTCCTGGAGAAAAGAAAAACGAGCGCATTCCTCCACTCCGTGGAAATGTGCCTTGTGTTCCCAGTCTCCCTCAGTATTCTTGAGGCCAACAGAGCAGCTTAACACAGCTGCCTCGAATAGTTTGTCCGGAATACTTTTGAGCCTTTTGTCTTGGTGTGCTTGAAAAAGGGACGCTTGTGAAATACAGCTGCATAGCGTTTTCATAGATGCTCCTGCCCCACTGCTGTGTCTGGGTTGCCCTACTCATTTCTGAGGAAAATGTACAGTATTTTAAAACACTGCCCTCGGTCACTCGTTTTTTTGAGGATTTGCCAAATCTCCCGTCACCAAAACAAAACTCGGGTTTAACCTGTAAACTTTTTTTTTTTTTAACCTATAAACTCTTAAGTTTCTTGCTTTCTTGAGAGACCAAAGTCTCTCTTTTTCTCTTCCAACAACCCACATTGTGCACAATGAGACAGGTCATTTTGAGAGACTATCCCGTGCCAATGGCGGGTGATGGTGCCAATTAACCATGATGGTGCCAAATACTTTACTAGGCAATTGGTTGAGTTTTAATGATTTCCTTTCAAAACGATATTTCTTTTTCCAATAATAACATAAGAAAAGCTTTGAAAAAAAGACTCCTTGGTTTGTTTTGGGGATTCCAAAGCTCAAGTAGTTTAGATCCAATTTTAAAAGATCTTAAATTTCTAAAAGCCTTTAACGCACGACCTGTTGGCAATCTACCCATTTGTAGATATTTGTAGATTTGTAGGTATTTCTAAGTCCAAATTTTTCTAATTCAGTTCCTCTTGGGACCAACAGTGAAACTTCATGGTGAGGCCTCTGGGACAGAATTTTTATTTGCCAGAAAGGCCTGGAGCCCACCAGTCTCCGAGTACAGCCATTGCCACCGAACATTTATTCCCACCTCCTTTGCAATCCCAGTAGTGGTGAAAGGTCCTTCATTCTGGGGAAGTACATACTTGGTTTTGAACAAATGCGTTAAGATATAAACATACCTGAATTTACTTAACGACTTCTGATTTGGATGAAGTTAAGGAAAAGATGAGTGGTATGCCTGATAGGATTTGATGAAAATGGAACCTTACCTCTATGTTCCCCAAACACTTAAGTACTCACACTAATCATGAGAAAAACATCAGACAGATCCCAGGAGGGAAAATCTACAGAATACAGGTATACCTCGGAGGTATTGTGGGTTCGGTTCCAGACCCCTGCACTAAAGTGAGTACTGCAATAAAGTGAGCTGTAATCTTCTGGCTGGTGGAGGGTCTTGCCTTCAATTTGCAAAAAACTCAATACCCGTGAAACTCAATAAAATAAGGTATGCCTGTATTGACCAGTATTCCTCCTCCTCAAAACTGCCAAGGTCATCAAAAACAAGGGCATTCTGAGAAATTGCTACTAGCCAAGAGCAGCCGAAGGAAACAGCTAAATGTAGTATGGTATCCTGGATGAATTCTAGAACAGAAGCAGACAGTAGGGGGGAAAGTAAGGAAATCCGAATAAAGTATGGGCTTTAATGTTAAAGTATCAATAATTGGTTAATTATGACCAATGTACCATACTAAGGCAAGATGTTAACTGGGCAAACTATTTATTACAAAGGCTGTGGATTATTCGGCTGGGAACTCTTAACTTTGCAATTTTTCTGTAAATCTCCAAAAATAAAATTTATATTTCAAGGGGGACAGCCAGTTAGCTCAGGTGGTGAGAGCGCAGGCTCATAACACCAAGGTTGCCGATTTGATCCCCACATGGGACACTGAGCTGCGCTCTCCAAACTACATTTAAACAACTACTCAATTGGAAGCTGATGGGTCCTGGAAAAACATACTGTTCCCCAACAAAAAATTAAAAGAAAAACATACTGAAATAAAAAAATGAGTGTTAACATGTTGATTTGTTTTGAAAACACCACTTCAAGTACAACAGACATAGCAGCATTACTCTTGCAGGTGGACAAACCATGAACCCAGAAAAATCCCAGTGCAGTTTCAGCAATTTTAAGAGAAGCACAGAGAAAAATAAATGCTTCCCCTTTCCCACATCAAAACATATTGTGAGTCTGGGACTTCCTTGGATGAACTCCACGCCTCCATCTTTAGTAAGGAAAAGTTTATAGAGTAATATATTAAGGCAAAGTATGGTTGGAGAGCTACTGAAATAGAGATTACTATGCTTTTTAAGTCACTAGATGAAACTTTTGCTTTCAAACTTTAAGTATCTGCTTTACACTTTACATTTATCAAACAGTCAGTTTAAATAACATCATAGTACTGAACAGTTTATAAATGTTTATTAAACGGCAGGAATCTTTACAAAGCAAATATTAATAGCAAGAGGCAAAATTTTTGCAAAATATGTACAAAAGTAAAAAGCCTTAATGAACTAGCAACTCATTTTATAAAATCAAACCGTTTTCATTTTCAGACCTACTTTAGAAATAATTTATTGCCAATCCTGAACTTAAGCACTGACAGAAAATAATTTACAGTATCAGATAATGTGCTTTAGTTCCTGGAAAGTTATAAAAAGATACACATATAAAAAATCCTAAGCCGCAAATACTTTTATACAGAACTAATACAAAGCATGTTTTGTTGGGTACAGGATCTATGAGGTTGTTACAAAATATACTTTTTGATAAGGCTTCTTGTGGCAAATGAGCTTTTACCATGTTAGAGTAGTACACAAAAGCCATTTAAGACATTTTAAGCTTCTGCTTTCAAGTAAGAGGTAAAGAAAGAGTGAATAGTATGGTTTGTTGCATTGTTACATATATGAGGTGAGACAATTAAGTTCACGAACTCATCCTAGAAAAAGTGCCACTTTTGCTGAATATCATTATGGTCACCTTCAAAGTACTTCCCTTGGGAAGCTATGCACTGCCGCCGGCACCTAGTCCACCCTTCAAAGCAATTTGGGAACTCTTTTTCTGGAATGGCCATCAGCACTGTCGTCACATTACCCTTGATGTCCTGTGATCCAAATGTCTTCCTTTCAATCTTTCCTTTATCTTTGGGTAAAGAAAGAAGTCACCGGGGGCCAGATCAGGTGAGTCGGGAGGGTGTTCCAATAGTTATTTGTTGACCGGCTAAAAATTCCCTCACAGGCAGTACCGTGCGAGCTGGTGCATTGTCGTGTTGCAAGAACCATGAATTGCTGGCAAAAAGTTCAGGTCGTCTTACTTTTTCACGCAGCCTTTTCAGCACTTCGAAATAGTAAACTTGGTTAACTGTTTGTCCATTGGTACAAATTCATGATGAATAATCCCTCTGATATCAAAAACAGGTTAGCAACATTGTTAAAACAAGTTCGCAAACTTAATTGTCAGGCCTCCTACTTCCCAAGAATTAATCCCTCACCGCCCCCTCCCTTTTACCCGATACCATCAACTAGGCATGACTGAGGACAAATGCATCACTTACTGTGGAAATATTATAACAAGCTTTCTGAATACAAACTGAATTTAGATACCAAGAAAGTAGCATTATTTCTATCATGACTTTCACTGATGGGAAATTTATGCAAAGCGGGTTCTAGCATACTTTAAACCATCTGGAAATTCTCATCATCAACAGCAGACATGGATAGGGCACAAAAATCTCTTATCAATCCAGATAACACTGCCCTGTCATTAACCCTCCGTTGGGTGCAATGCAAAAGTTACAAGTTCGGGCACAATGCACCTTACTAGATGTGTGTATGACATTTATTTATTTAAATTGAAAATGAATGAAAATAATGTGTAAGCATGATTATTCAGAATGAAATTTTAATTTGCTACAAAGTAAAAACATGTTTAATATGTTTATTACATAAATTCAGTATAAAAATCCACAGAAATTCAAAACAATCTGTGAAATCAGTTGCGCCCGACGGAGGGTTAATGCTTTTTGGTCCATATAAGCTCTGGCATTTGAAATCAGATGGTTAGACCTGGATGACACAAGAATGACACAAGAATATAATTAAATGCTAACTATACATTCAAGTACAGCCATAAGAATGCTAGCGGTACAAACACTGTATTTCAAATGCTGTTAATCACTTACCAGCCTAAGGCTAAGAGCAACTTGCTGGTACTTGAAAAAGCCATGTAGTCCAACTTGTTGAAAATATTCAGGTTTAGACTTCTACTTCAGTCTCCAGTACAAATTGATTAAGCCCTAACCTCGTACCGTAAAATAATCATTTGCTTTATTTGGAATGTGGAGACACACACACACCCACTCACTTGCACTCCCTCTCTTCTTCATGTTTACGAGACTGAAAAGCCAACCTGCATCCTATCATTAAAAAGCAGCACAACAATGGACAGGTCGTCTGAGACTAATGGAACAGCCTGTTGGAATGATGGGAAGGAGAAAGTGACCCGGGACCAAGTCAGACCTCCAACTGAAACAGACACATGCACAATTTCTGTTCTTGATTCCTCAAATAAGACTAAAATAAATGAAAAGGTAACAGAGTGGCTTTCTCTAGATTTATTAGGGAGTTTGTTACAAATATCTGATGGAGCTTTACAAGCATGATTGCATGGATTCAAACAAGAAATTAAGAGTTAACACTGATATTTAGCCTTCTCATTACACATACAGAAATAACATCGCTACAAATTGCAACGGAGGGAATCTTGTTTCAAATGGCTTGGTTTGGGGTTTTGCGTAAATGTATCATTATATAATGAAAGCACCAATCTGAGGGATTCTCAAATAGTGATTTGACTTTCAGAACATAACAAAACATAACTTGGTAACTTTATTCTTCATGTAAATAAGGCATAACCGGATATGTGCATTAATGCTGAAAATACATTTTATCAAAAGCATAAATACAAGTATTTGGGTATACATTGGAAGTTAAGATTTACTCATTCTTTCTTACAAAAAGTTATAGGGCACGTGATTTCAGAGTGGAATCCAAATCAATACTTCTAACCATTTCCGGTATTAAGGTCATCTTACTTCCTTCTACTTTAAACCGACCACTGCTACCAGCTGAACAAGAATTTCCCTAAACAACCTCACCTGAGACTCACCCAAGGATCTTCACACATAAAATACCTGTGAAACTTCCAAGAAAACAAAACAAAAATGCATCGTCTTTTTCACTCCACATCCCCTTCTTGGGTTGTAGTTGCTCTCTATAGCCATCAAGAGCCCTTTCAAGACAATAAGACTGAAATGAAGATTTCAACTTAATACAACATTTGGCAGAAAGCAACAATTCCTTGTATTAAAAATAATTTAAGTGGCAGAGACACACCTTAAATTATGTGGATCTGCAGAAAACACTAACAAAAACTTTCCCCTATAAAATCAAGGCCCAAATTTGTGGTGTTCCTTTATAAGGCAACTCTGTATACTATAAATTTCTTCAAGGTCAAAAAAGACACTTGTGTGATTATTTCATAAGAACTAAACGAGAAGACATTCAGGTTTAAGAACAGAATGGAACAGAGAATTAGGCACATTTTATTCCAAATCATAACTGTGAAGACTTAGAAAATCAAACACACCTAAAAGCTTCCAATTTAAATTACTTTTTTAGAGATTAGGGGGAAATTGGCATAGTGAAAACCGAGCGCCCTTTCAATTTTGTTCACTGAACTTCACACCTCCCTCTTCATCTAGCGGTGTTTCAAAAGGAACTGGTTTTCATGATATTGGTAAAACGACTCCTTCAAATGGTTTAAAAATACAGTATATAAAAAGTGTGGGCTAGAGCCTCAGAGTGAACCTTACAGTTCCACTCTCTTAACGAGTCTGCCATGAAATATAAGTAATTTACTGCCTCAAAATATATTCTAGATATTACCAAAAAGAATGTTGACTCTGAGACATCACATGCACATGGAAAGAAAACTGAAAATGCCCAAAATAATACATCTATTTGGTGTTTTAACATGTCTTGGTGGTGGTCAACATGGGGAAACGTGATGACTTCCGCTTTGTCAGGCCATTTTATGGTTCATATCACAGATCTTAAACATAATGTAAATAGACTAAGTTTCCTCTTCATACAGGGAACTTACTTTTTTATTTAGCCTTTGCTGGAGTTAAATAATGTTTTGGCCATTCAATAAAACTATATGCTAAATTTACACATAGACTCTCCCCCAAAAAGTCCACGTTACTGTACACATATTCCAATATTCACTAGCACTGCAATTATTCTAACTGTGGATTCAAACAAAGCTTTCTTTTTGCCAAGAAGCACTAGATGTAGGCTATGCAAACATGCAGGAACTGTACTATGAATACTTGTGTTATCACGCGGGGCCACAGGCCTGTAGGTCATGTATAACCAAGGCATGGAAACACTGCAAATGACTATGGATATCATGAGGGTGGACTTCAAATGCAAGACAAGTCAGGTACGTGAGGCATGATCCCGGGTCAGTTCAATGAAAAGCCCTCCTCTCACACCAGACAGCAAGCCAGGTCAAGAGCCATAGTGTTGACCCATCTTTCAAGAACTTTCTAGCCAGTAAAATACCTGAGAACACGGTCAGCTATACAGTCAAGTGACAGATATCACAGTCTTAATCACAATTTTCAGGAAAAGGAGAAAAGCTGCCATACTTTCCAAACTGTCACCAGCCTTGTACATCTGTTTCTCTAATCCAATTCTACCACCATACATAACCTTACAAGGCAGTATTTTTAGCACTGCAAACCAGCCATTCTCATAAATTTGCTATGAATGTATTTGTAATTGCGAAGCTACTTCATGGGTATGTTTTCATTTGGTAAGTGATGGAAGGAGGTCAAATGTAATCAACTTTTGGTGTCAACTACAAATGTTACTACTTATTCTTAGGAGTATCCTTAAAAACATTCAAAATATACATCAATGAGCCAGAATTTCAAAAACAATGATACAAACATGTACATACTATATCTTTTAGAGACACACCAAGGTTGAATAGAAGTCTGAAATAATACCTTCTTGAATAGTGTGACAAGAAAAGACTGCCTTTGGCCAGCTCCAAGTGAATAAAAATCCCCTGAATGCCACAGTCTGAGCTGATGGGAATAGACAGGGGAGCAAAAGAAAAGACGTTTGTGATGGTATAACAATGATTTCCTACAGTAAGGCCCCAAATCATCTGAGACAGGATTTAAAAGACTGAGAGTGAACTTAACATTCTGGAAAAGGTTATTTAAAAAATTCTGTTATCACGTTGCTTGCAATTTTTAGTTGCTGCCATGGCCAGAATGTTCCACATATGGCACTTTTAGTACATGGTATATAAATATGAGAAGGGTGAACTGTATTTCACTAGTAACTTTGATCAAAACACTACATATGGCACTTGCTTGCCTTTTGCTTCCCCGTACCACTGGTGAACTTTCGTTAGCATCAAACCAGAAATCCTTATGTAAACTTTAAAACACTAAAAACATTACCTTAAGAAACCACAGAAATTGAAAAACAAACAACTGTTGTGTATATGAGCAATTAAAAAATACATGAAGGCTAAATCTGTGTAAATCTATAGCGCATTATTCCTAAGTTCAAAATTTGTTCTAATAGCCCTTTCAAAATAAGTCACCATGATACCAGGCACACGTGTGGCTGCTCTGTGTAGGGCGGACAAAAGATGTCTTCACTTGTTTTAGAACTGAACATTCTTAACCTCATACCTACGAATATTTAAGGACACCTTCACTTGGCACTACAGGAGCATTCAATTTGAAAAGTGGAAGAATTTAAAGCCTGAAATAGATACCTTGTCTGAGGTTTGGCAGGAAATGACATCTCCTCTCTAAGGGAAGCCATAGTGAAACAGATCAAAGCCTGAATTTGAGCAGATATTGCCGGTGTGTTATTCAGCAGCTTTCAGCCACAAACCAAAGTCCGCAGGAGATGGACTAAGATTTCCAAGAAGTTAAACAGAGGATCAAGATTTTCCTAATTCCTGTTGTAAACTATTTAAAAAAAAAAACAAAAACAAACACAAAACAGAAAACAATCAAAAAGACAAAAAAGGTATTAAAACAGCCAGTCTTTTGTACATCACTGGAGCATAAGCTGCTTGAGGTTGTCGTGAAGAATGGTATCCTTCACGTCCCGGAACACCAGGCGGATGTTCTCCGTGTTGATAGCAGTGGTGAAGTGGTGGTACAAGGGCTTCTGCTGCTGGTCCCGGCGCTTGTTCCGGAAACATTCCACCAGGAATTTTTGGACGTCTCTTAAGCAGTGGGGATCCCCTTCAAATTCTAAGAAATAGTCTTTGATGCTCACAATTCGCACCTTCTCCTCAAGCAAATCTGTCTTGTTTAAGAAGAGAATTATGGAGACATTGCTGAAAACCCGGTTATTGACGATTGTTTCAAAAATGTTCAGGGATTCTGTAAGGCGATTGGTCAGTCGATCTTCCATAAGCACCTGGTCAAATTCACTTGAGGAAACAAGGAAAAGTATTGATGTCACACTGTCGAAGCATTCAAACCAACGTTTTCTTTCTGATCTTTGACCACCTACATCAACCATTTTAAAAGGAACATTTTTAATTTCAAAGTCGTACTCATGAATGCCTTTGGTGGGTTTTCTGGCAAGCAGAATATCTTGTTGTGATGGAATGTAATCCTGGAAAAGAAAAAAAAATGGTTTTATACTCAGCAATCCAGAAGTAACTAGAATTGTTAATGTTCTAATCTAACTGATCTAGTGAATGGATATGCAAACAAAATTATCTTTGTAATGACACCTCCTGATGACAATAAAGCATCAGTACTATTATTATTCTCATTATATAATGCCAAGATATATTAAAATATTAGCGTACAAAGACTGGTTCAAAATTCACTGCCATGGGCGGCTCCTATTTTTTCCACCCCTATACTGCTACTCAAACTGAGGTCTCATCCCCCAGGGGTCCTTGTACCCCCGCCCACTGCTGCATCTACCTCAGTGACTCCTCACCATTTCCTCCGCTCAGTTTCAGCCAAAGTGACCTCACTGCTTGCACAGCCACCTGCTCCTTACTCCTCTAAAGGCGAGGAGGTTTGAAATGTCAGTTCCCGGAAATCACTTCCCAGTTCCCAGTGCTGCCTCTCCCTCTCGAATCCATTCTTAACATTCTTTACTGTGCACCAGCCTTGGTGACTGAGAGCCCTACACTGGTCCCTCCATGTTATCGCTGCTGCTACACGACATGTGTGGCAAACACTTCCTATCCTCCAGCTAATAAACTGAAGATGCTTTGGGCCGCTTCCTAGGTTCATTTCCAAGGTACAGTGTCATCTATGAGCAAGGCACTGGGTGCTATGCACTGAATTGTGTCCTTCCTCCCAAATTCACATTTTGAAGCCCTAACATCCAATGTGATTATATTTGGGGACAAGGCTTCTCAGAAGTAACTAAGATTAAATGAGGTCATATAGGTGGGGCCCTAACCAGGCAGTATTTGTGGCCTTATAAGAATGAGAAAATTTCTCTCTCTCTCCCCATGAGTATGCACTGAGCAAAAGTCATGTGAAGACACAGTGAGAAGGCAACAGTCTGCAGGCCAAGAAGAGAACCCTCACCAGAAGTTAACCATGTTAGCATCTGGAACTTGGGACTTCCAGCCTCCAGAACAGTGAGAAATAAATGTCTGCTGCTTAAGTGCCCCCACTCTGTGGTATTTTGTTATGACAGCCTGAGCAGACTAAGACATGGGGTTTACTTCATGTGATCATCCCATAGCCCTGTGCAGTTGGTTCTCGTACTGTGTCTATGATATGGAAGGAAAAACTAAGGTTTAGAAATGCCTATGGTCACACAGAGCCTGTCTGTGATGGAACAGAATTAGAACCCAGGTGGTCTGGCTCACAACCCGTGTCCTTGACCCCTGTGCTGACCTACCACATGGTCATGGGGCTTGACACACAGCAGGGCTTCAATGGCCCTGGTACTACAGTCAGATGGGGAAGCAAATACAATTCTGTGACCTGTCTGATATGCACAGGATAGGTGGCCAATTCATAGCACACCCAGGGTTTTTTCCCCTCTGTTATAGCTCCCTATTAATCACAGCGCTGTTTTCCAGATGTGGCCTCAAAATTGTTCTCAACAAAAGACTCTAAGTTGGGGCCAGCTGAGTGGCTCAGTTGGTTAAGAGCTCGCTCAAGAGTTTGAGCTCTGAGCAACAGCGGTTCGAGTCCCGGCCCGAGCCGAGCTGCCACTGAGCTGCCAACAGGTGGCAGGATGGCTCAGCTACAAAAAAAAAAAAAATAAGACTCTTAAGTAGCTGGTACAAATTGACTGGGATTGGCCTAGAGTCATTCATTCAAAAGCTATTTGTTGAGTGCCTACTATGTGCCAAGCACTGTCACTAAGCATCAAGAACTCAATTCTTCACAATCAAGAGATGAGGTCCTTGCCCTTATGGAAAGAGGTGGGTAAAAGACCAATACACATATAAATAAATAAACCAACGGGAATAAGAGCAATGAAGTTTGAAAAAAGAAAGGGCTGATACTGAAAACAAGAGGGGATCTACTTTGAATGGTATGCTTTTCAAAGAAGGCCTATCTGAAAAGGCAAATTAAGAAGGGCAGGTCAAGTCAGCAGTGTCTGGGTTGGAAAACATGAAACAACTCTTAAAAATTAGTTGATCCACTAAGGCTTCTGTCCATTGGCCTACACTTAGGCTTATAATCTGACCAGATGGAAAAGGGACAATGAAATAAGTCTCAATAAAAATTTCACTGATGTGGGCAGAGTAAACATAGGTAAGGAGATCTCAATTTCTGGAACACCTGTGTCTAGGAAAGAGGAAGGAGAAAAATACTGGTTTAAGGGTAGACAAATGCAATTTAGCAAAATATAAAATAAGGGAAAATACAAAAATTATCCTGTGAGAGCAAAAAGAAAGTACTTTTTCACATGTCCTAGCTACATTAGTATGTTACTTTTATACTTGCTATGGGTTTCATTTTGTGCTTTCCTTCAGTTATATTTTTATAATTAAAAACCTGAAGGAATCCGTAAGACTGTATTAAAATTTATAACTGAAATTTGCTGGAAGAGGAGGCAAACAAAGCTATACTAAATTTAGCAGGTGACAAATGACTCTAGAGCAATGGCTTTCAAACACTTCCTAAGCAGCAGGGACCCTTCTTCCCGTGAAGCCTCCTGCATGAGTGCACTACAGAGAGCAGACGGTGCCAGGGCCAGAGCTGCTGGCTCCGAGGGCTGCATGCGGGGACATCACCACCTCGCCTCCCAAGGGCGACCCCTTCTCCCACATCATGGAGTTTCTTCAGCATCGAGCCTCCTCCACTGTAACTCAACACAAAGGAGTCCTGAAATGGGAAATCCCATTTGCTGAAAGGTTTTCAATCAATTAACCCCGTGTTCTTCCTGTTTCTGCTTACAAAAAACCCCAAAAGATAGTGAAGTAGAACAGATAATGTGCAATCTCATTTTCAAACATAAACTTCTTTCCCTAAACAGTTTTACTTTCATGAAGTTGTGGATAGGGCATTCCTAAAGGAAATGGCAGAGATGTGGATAGTGAGGGAGAAAAAATGAAGCGTGAACAGTCAGAATACTGCCACTAGGAAAAAGGAAGAAGCAAAAAGCCTGATACATAATTGTTCTCAATTCCCTATCATCAATAGCCTGACTACTGCTTTCAAATGGCAATAAAGATTCAGTTTAAAACTTACTGGTTCTCCAAGTTTATCCAAGTTATCCAGGAAATATTTTACAGATTCACCCTAAAAACAAGAAAACAAAGTTATTAGGGCTTAGAAATGGAAGATTTTGTTACAACAGTTTATACTAAATTGTCTGGCTGTACGCTTAATCCAAACATCGTTTGCTTAGTCACCAATTTCAGACTCAACAGCTAAACCCCACTAAAAACGTATAAAACGCTTGCCTCTGCCACCGAGTGCCACAGCCCAGTTAATTTCACAGATGCTTCACGTAAGTGATGACCCCAAGTGACCATCTATTTGAACAAGATTACATGTATGCTTTTGATATCACTATCTATGCATCCAAAGGGAAGATGTAATTAAAAGGTGACAACTGCTTTTGAGATACTCATATACATCTACAACTAAAACTTAAGTGGGATTCTTTTTGTCTACATTTTTCTACCTTAAGTTCATACCAGTGGTAGTTAGCTTCAGAGGCAAGAGAAAACCGGAGAAGAGGTGTGAACACCACATAAAAAAGTCTTCCAGGAACAGGCATATGCCTGGAGACACGCCTTGCACCAGAAGATTTTGAATAATGCTGCAAGCTTCCTATCTCCAATAGGTCTTCCTTTCCTGAGCGACCAGCCCTCTCTCTCTGAGCTCAGGTTTCTATTGGACCTCCAGGCAATTTCAAATATCTAAACTGTATGAGAATACATTCCTAAAAGGAAATAGCTGAACAGAGGACAGATAAGAGAGTAATAAGCAGTGGTAGATGATATTGCTTTTTTTCTGGACCTGGAGTATGGGTACAATATTTACAGCATCTAAAGATGACTTCTAGGAAAGAGGAAAAGAAAAATCTTCAAGGAATTCACTCGGGGTTAATAAAGAGATTATTTGGTTAATCCTATACAAATATTTTGCATTATGTCATCCATTTTAATGAAAATAATTTTGTGTTTGGATGGATAACATTTTATAGGCCAAGGGGAATTTAACCTTAACCTTTAAATAACAATAATTATTTATAAGATTGTTTGTACAACGTAAATGAAGTTCTACATTTAAAGTACTTAAAAAGTAAAATTCGGGCCGGCTGAGTGGTGCGTTGGTTAAGAACTGGCTTGGGATGCCAGAGAGCCCCGGTTCGGATCCCACATATGAGGGCCAGTGATGCTGCCCTCTACAGCTAAGATGCTGAACAACAGCTCAACCTGGAGCTGGGCTGCCGTGAGTCGACGGCGACAGCGTAGGCTGCAGCCCCTGCTGCAGTGGGTTGCCATGGGCTACCGTGTGTAGCCAGCAGCCGCAGTGAGCGGCCGTCCAGAAGCCAGCGACTGATCTGCCTCGTCCGTGAAGAGCGCAATGATGGTGCCAACTTGGGCCAGTGAAGCAACGTCCTCCACAACTAGACTGAAGAACAAAAGGACAGCAACTTGTCTGTTCCCCTTCCCCCCAATTCCCCAGTGCTGTTCCCATCCCCCAATTCCCCAATTGAAAAAAAAAGTAAAATACAAATAAATATTACCAATTCTGTTAATACTGAAGTATATACGTTAGTTTCTTAGACAAATATAATAAAAGACAATCACTATTTATGTGTGAGTCAGACCAATAAAGTGGTTGTTACCCTTTCAGTAATGTGTACATTGATCAAATACTTACATAATGTTAAATATCTTAAGTGAAATTTAACACATTTCAAAAACAGTGTATTTTTGACTGGTAGTGTTGTATATTGCACTTACTTGCTCTTGGATTATGTCCTTGGTGATTGCAGAATTCCTAAGGCAAGGAGGTTAAATGTTTTTAAGATGCCTTGTACTTACTGCCACAATTGTTTTACTGATTCTCTCCTATCCAAGAGTTAAAATAACTGAATTTATTACTAATGAAATTACGATGAAGCTAAATTAAGCCAAGATCATATAAGAATATAGATCCTTCTATAATAAATTAAGGTACAAACTCTGAACGATTCCGCATTGTGGTGACTGATGCTTATCATTTTAGAGACCCTAGAGCAAGAGAGCTGTTTAAAATAGAAAATTACAGGCCAGCCAAGTGGCTCATTGGTTAAGAGTTGGCGTGGGAGCGCGAACTCTGAGCAGCAGGGCCGCCGGTTCGGATCCCACGTGAGGGCCAGTGATGCTGCGCCCTCTACAGCTAAGATGGTGAACAACACCTCCACCTGGAGCTGGGCTGCCGTGAGTCCCCGGCAATGGTGTAGGCGGCAGTGGGGCTGGCCGGCAGCGGGTGTCAGCTTTCGTGAGCTGCCGTCCAATGGCCAGCAAGTGACTTGCCTCACCCAGGAAGAGCGCAACGGTAATACCAACATGAGGCAGTGAAGCGACGTCCTTCACAACTAGACTGAAGAACAAAAGGACAGCAACTTGTCTGTTCCCCTTCCCCGATTCCCCAACTCTGTTCCCTTCCTGAATTCCTCAAAAAAATTTAAAAAATAGAAAATTACATATTCCATATTCAAGTCAACAATAAAAATTCAACTATTTAAATATTTATTTCAATTAGTACTGCAGCTTATCTTAACTAATGATCAAATAAATGAAAGTTAAAGTAACCTTAAGTTGAACATATTATCTAAAGCAGCAAGACCACCTCCCCTTTTTAGAAAATAAATGTTTATACCCAACCCATTGTTTCTGAGGGTAGAGGGGAATTGGTATATTTATTCTAGTGACATTGAAAATTCACACAAACTTTTTACAAAGTTATTAATATAATTCATAAAACTTTTAATGAACTTTTGCCCACTCTAAGGAATTTATTCAACATAAACAAAATGATACAAACAAAGAGATATTTTACTCAGTGCTACTTATGATAGCAAGAGTTGGAAATTCATTTTCCCACTCTTTAGAATGATTTAATACATTTTGGCATACTAACAGTAAAATGTCCTAAAACAATTATTTTGACATAATGGCTACATATGAAATATTTATACCATTAAATGTTAAAGTAGCAGATTACCAAATGAAGGTCCGTAACAACCACTTATCCACAAGTTTTTTTGTAGTAAGCTTGGCCCCAACACTCGTTTGGCAGCAAAATGACCTGAATTGATATGAGGGTCCTTAGTCTTTATTTCTCCGACTCAGTGAAACTATCCAAATGTTTTGCTAACACTATGGATATTACATAATCAGTACATGTACTGTATTACCTTTCTGAAATCCCAAAATTTCTTAATTCCATAAAAATCTGTACTCAAGGAACTATAATGAGAATGTATCTGTATTATATATGCTTTGATTTTAGCTATTTATAAGATGAAAAAGGTAACTTTGTGTTTCTATGAGTGACTATATTCTATTTTCAAAAAAAGAAAAACTGACCCTATTTGATCATCTCTTGGTATATAAATATAGAAAAATATTTTAAAGTTATTTTCACTGATGCTTCCTGATTTAACCTTCTTCCCTAAGAGGGATATCTTAGATCTTTTGGATTCAAATTACTACATGCTTTATTATGAATTCATAATCTCACCAAAATCAAACAGTAATAATTACAGAAATATGCACGTGCTCCTATTATTAAATTTCAACTTCTACTGAAGTTTCATTAGTATTATTTACGAAGTCTTTTGTGCACTTGAGACTATAAAATTTAAACAAAAATATGTATAATTCACATATTTGAATATATGAAAACATTTTGGTTTAAAATAACTTCCCAAGTGGAAAAAAAGAAGGATGTTAATTCACCATTTTATATCATAGGTGATACCCATCTTTCCATTAGTAAGAAAACAAGAGTGGGAGACAGGAACAGTTTAATAATCTTTTAATGCAAGGACTGGAAACTAAAGCTTCATACTGCTAAGAGATCAGATTCCCCCAAATTAAGCTACTTTGAAGGAAACGATTTTAAACACACACATGCGAGTGCATGCAAATGCACACGTGCATGTGTGACCGTAAGTGAGCTATAAAAGGATGGACACTTTTCTGAATTAGGTAACTTAGGGAAAATTTCTTACAGCAGCTTTAAAGAGTTTTACTGAAAAAAGAGAAAACCTGTCTTTTTACAATCTCAAATAAATTTCCAAATTAAAAAACATAAAATGTATGTGTTCTTTAATTTGACCATAAAGGATGTGGAAAAAGAATAATGACATCTCTGTTCTCAGTAAACCCAAGACCTTCTGGTCGTTGCCTTGTTTGTGCATTAGTGCCCTTATGCAAATCTTATACCTAGTTCAGTGCCTAGCACCTGGTAGCCTCCTCACCTTCCTCCCCAAAAGTATGTGGTGAATGAAGTATGAAGTACTAGGGGAAAATTGACCCCAAATATTTCTTCCTAACAGTTTCAGAAGTGATCGAGTCTTCTAGCTGTCTCATATTAATTTTACGGGAAAGATGTGAATTCTATTCTAAACTTCTCTGGGCCTCAATTGAACCAGCAGTAAAATGAGGAAGTTCTATGATTCGATAGATATTCATTCACTGAAGTTCAGCCCTAGGCAACAATTTCTGTTTGTAAACTGAGTTAAATTTAAGCTCTCCTTTCCTTAGAGCTATGTGTCTATTTATCTTAAATTCACTTTTCTTATTATTCAAGTTGTGTTGCTCGGCCTCTTATATGTGTTGCTCGGCTAATACAGAAGAAAATAATTTCACGTATTGGGCAAGAAATAGGATGTGTTTAAGATTCAATTTTTGTTGGTTATGACTTAAGACTATTATACCTTTCCCCAGTCTGTTTTATGTTACTGAAGTTAATTTTTAATAGAATTCCAAAGAAAAGCCATTTCATGCTCAAGACTTTTTAAGTTTAAGATGTTCTATGTCATCCTTTGGTTCTTTCGTTCTCTGTTCGGAATGTTGAGGTAACTTTCTAGGTTCCTGTAGGTAAGGCTAAACAGTATAAAGCAGCATGGCACCTGAAAGTCTTCCGGTATTTTACACTGTGGATATTTACATTCCACCTAAAACAACGGCATAGCAGCCAGTGGACTTGGGTTCTACGTAGTCACAAGATAGGCTTGCTATTGACAAAGCCAATGCACAACGGTGAGCTTAACTCGAGAATAAAATGACAGA